GAACTTTTGAATCTCATTTCCTGTTTGGCCAGCGTGGCAAGCTGCAGGTGACCATGCAGAGCTCATCAGCACAGGTGACCATGATGGAGTCCCAGAATCGCAAAAGAGCTCCAGCATGGACCGAACGGGAGGTACGGGATCTGATCGCTGTTTGGGGAGAGGAATCCGTGCTATCAGAACTCCGTTCCAGTTTTCGAAATGCCAAAACCTTTCTGAAAATCTCCCAGGGCATGAAGGACAGAGGCCATAACGGACCCGAAGCAGTGCCGCGTGAAACTGAAGGAGCTGAGGCAAGCCTACCAGAAAACCAGAGAGGCGAACAGCCGCTCTGGGTCAGAGCCCCAAACATGCCGCTTCTATGATGAGCTGCATGCCATTTTAGGGGGTTCAGCCACCACTACCCCAGCCGTGTTGTTTGACTCCTTCAATGGAGATGGAGGCAATACGGAAGTAGGTTTTGGGGACGAAGAAGATGATGAGGAGGAGGTTGTAGATAGCTCACAGCAAGCAAGCGGAGAAACCGGTTTTCCCGACAGCCAGGAACTGTTTCTCACCCTAGACCTGGAGCCAGTACCCCCCGAACCCACCCAAGGCTGCCTCCTGGACTCAGCAGGCGGAGAAGGGACCTCTGGTGAGTGTACCTTTTAAAATGCTATACATGGTTTAAAAGCAAGCATGTGAAAGGATTACTTTGCCCTGGCATTTGCGGTTCTGCCTTTGCAAAAGGCTTCTGGGGAGGGCAGCCTTATTTCGTCCTTCACGGTAGGACACTTTACCACTCCAGGCCAGCAACACGTACTGGGGAATCACTGTAGAACAAAGCATTGCAGTGTATGTTTGCTGGCATTCAACCAAAATCCGTTCACGCGGTGGGAGGAGGCAAAATGCGACCTTGTAACGAAAGCACATGTGCTATGTATGTAATGTTAACAGCAAGGTTTACCCTGAAAGAGTGTAGCGACTGTTTTATAAAATGTGTCTTTTTAAATACCGCTGTCCCTTTTTTTTTCTCCACCAGCTGCATGTGTTTCAATGATCACAGGATCTTCTCCTTCCCAGAGGCTAGTGAAGCTTAGAAAGAAAAAAAAACGCACTCGCGATGAAATGTTCTCCAAGCTCATGCTGTCCTCCCACACTGACAGAGCACAGACGAATGCGTGGAGGCAAATAATGTCAGAGTGCAGGAAAGCACAAAATGACCGGGAGGAGAGGTGGAGGGCTGAAGAGAGTAAGTGGCGGGCTGAAGACAGGGCTGAAGCTCAAAGGTGGCGGCAGCGTGATGAGAGGAGGCAGGATTCAATGCTGAGGCTGCTGCAGGACCAAACCAGTATGCTCCAGTGTATGGTTGAGCTGCAGCAAAGGCAGCTGGAGCACAGACTGCCACTGCAGCCCCTCTGTAACCAACCGCCCTCCTCCCCAAGTTCCATAGCCTCCACACCCAGACGCCCAAGAACGCGGTGGGGGGGCCTCCGGCCAACCAGCCACTCCACCACAGAGGATTGCCCAAAAAAAAGAAGGCTGTCATTCAATAAATTTTAAAGTTGTAAACTTTTAAAGTGCTGTGCTTAAAGTGCTGTGTGGCATTTTCCTTCCCTCCTCCACCACCCCTCCTGGGATACCTTGGTAGTCATCCCCCTATTTGTGTGATGAATGAATAACGAATGCATGAATGTGAAGCAACAATGACTTTATTGCCTCTGCAAGCGGTGATTGAAGGGAGGAGGGGGCGGGTGGTTAGCTTACAGGGAAGTAGAGTGAACCAAGGGGCGGGGGGGGTTCATCAAGGAGAAACAAACAGAACTTTCACACCGTAGCCTGGCCAGTCATGAAACTGTTTTTCAAAGCTTCTCTGATGCGTACCGCGCCCTCCTGTGCTCTTCTAACCGCCCTGGTGTCTGGCTGCGCGTAACCAGCAGCCAGGCGATTTGCCTCAACCTCCCACCCCGCCATAAACGTCTCCCCCTTACTCTCACAGATATTGTGGAGCACACAGCAAGCAGTAATAACAGTGGGAATATTGGTTTCGCTGAGGTCTAAGCGAGTCAGTAAACTGCGCCAGCGCGCCTTTAAACGTCCAAATGCACATTCTACCACCATTCTGCACTTGCTCAGCCTGTAGTTGAACAGCTCCTGACCACTGTCCAGGCTGCCTGTGTATGGCTTCATGAGCCATGGCATTAAGGGGTAGGCTGGGTCCCCAAGGATACATATAGGCATTTCAACATCCCCAACAGTTATTTTCTGGTCTGGGAATAAAGTCCCTTCCTGCAGCTTTTGAAACAGACCAGAGTTCCTGAAGATGCGAGCATCATGCACCTTTCCCGGCCATCCCACGTTGATGTTGGTGAAACGTCCCTTGTGATCCACCAGAGCTTGCAGCACTATCGAAAAGTACCCCTTGCGGTTTATGTACTCGGCGGCTTGGTGCTCCGGTGCCAAGATAGGGATATGGGTTCCGTCTATAGCCCCACCACAGTTAGGGAATCCCATTGCAGCAAAGCCATCCACTATGACCTGCACATTTCCCAGGGTCACTACCCTTGATATCAGCAGATCTTTGATTGCGTGGGCTACTTGCATCACAGCAGCCCCCACAGTAGATTTGCCCACTCCAAATTGATTCCCAACTGACCGGTAGCTGTCTGGCGTTGCAAGCTTCCACAGGGCTATCGCCACTCGCTTCTCAACTGTGAGGGCTGCTCTCATCTTGGTATTCATGAGCTTCAGGGCAGGGAAAGCAAGTCACAAAGTTCCATGAAAGTGCCCTTACGCATGCGAAAGTTTCGTAGCCACTGGGAATCGTTCCAGACCTGCAACACTATGCGGTCCCACCAGTCTGTGCTTGTTTCCCGAGCCCAGAATCGGCGTTCCACAGCATGAACCTGCCCCATTAGCACCATGATGCATGCATTGTCAGGGCCCATGCTTTCAGAGAAATCTGTGTCCATGTCCTGATCACTCACGGGACCGCGCTGACGTCGCCTCCTCGCCCGGTATCGCGTTGCCATGTTCTGGTGCTGCATATACTGCTGAATAATGCGTGTGGTGGTTAATGTGCTCCTAATTGCCAAAGTGAGCTGAGCGGGCTCCATGCTTGCCGTGGTATGGCGTCCGCACAGAAAAAAGGCGCGGAACGATTGTCTGCCGTTGCTCTGACGGAGGGAGGGGCGACTGACGACACGGCTTACAGGGTTGGCTTCAGGGAGCTAAAATCAACAAAGGGGGTGCCTGTACATCAAGGAGTATTTCAGGCAGGACTGCACGGAGGGTTCCAATAAGAAATGGTGCACCTAAGTTATCGTTGTTATTGGAACAAGGAGGTTAGCCTGGCCTCTGATTGATACATGGCTAGATTTACCTCACTGCACCTTCTCTGTGAGTGACTGCAGTGTGACCTAGAGGAATGAGTCCTCTAGACAGGGGAGGAGGCAAATGAGTACAAAATAAATCTGGTCTATTTCTTGTTTTGACCCACTCCATCTATCTTTTACATCTTTGGCTGGCAGCAGACGGTGCAGAAGGACTGCATGCCATCCACATCTCATGGCTGCTCGGCAGAAGATGGTACAGTACGACTGCTAGCCATCCCCATCTCTTGCCTGCCTGGCAGAAGATGGTGCAATACGACTGCTAGCAATCCTCATCTCTTGCCTGCCTGGCAGAAGATGGTACAGTACGACTGCTAGCAGTCCGTATCGCCTGCCCGCTCACCATAAGACGGTTCAATAGGACTGACTGCAGGACTAAAGAGAATGACCTGTTCAAGTCACTCCAAATTTAGTCCCTGCGCCCATGTCTGCCCAGGCGCTCCCAGCCGACGCGGCCAGGAGCACCTCGGACACGATGAGGACGACTACCAATCGTATTGCACCGTCTGCTGCCAGAAGGCAAGGGGTTGCTGCTACTGTGCAGCAAAGCCGTACCGCGTCTGCCAGCACCCAGGAGACATAGGGTGACGGTTACCTGAGCGGGCTCCATGCTTGCTGTGGTATGGCGTCTGCACAGGTAACTCAGGAAAAAAGGCGCGAAATGATTGTCTTCCCTTGCTTTCACGGAGGGAGGGAGGGAACGGGGGCCTGACGACACGTACCCAGAACCACCCGCGACAATGTTTTAGCCCCATCAGGCATTGGGATCTCAACCCAGAATTCCAATGGGCAGCGGAGACTGCGGGAACTGTGGGATAGCTACCCACAGTGCAACGCTCCGGAAGTCGACGCTTGCCTCGGTACTGTGGAAGCGCTCCGCCGAGTTAATGCACTTAATGCACTTAGAGCATTTTCTGTGGGGACACACACACTCGAATTTATAAAACCGATTTCTAAAAAACCAACTTCTATAAATTCGACCTTATTCCGTAGTGTAGACATACCCTTAGTATTTAGCTGTGACAGTGAATACCTTTCCGACACCTGAGGAAAAAACTTCTCACCCTCTCCAACAGACGCTGGTCCAATAAAAGATATTACCTCACCCACCTTGTTTCTCTAAAACAAATACAATAGCACCTCAGAGTTACAAACACCAGAGTTGTGAACTGACCAGTCAAACACACACCTCTTTTGGGACTAGAAGTATGCAATCAGGTAACAAAGGGGAAAAAAAAAGCAAATACTGTACAGTACTGTGTTAAATGTAAACTACAAAAAATATAAAGGGAAAATTTAAAAAAAGATTTGACAAGGTAAGGAAACTGTTTCTGTGCTTGTTTCATTTCAATTAAGATGGTTAAAAGCAACATTTTTCTACTGCATAGTAAAGTTTCAAAGCTGTATTCAGTCAATGTTCAGTTATAAACTTTTGGAAGAACCACCATAACATTTTGTTGAGTTACGAACATTTCAGAGTTATGAACCACCTCCATTCCTGAGGTGTTCGTAACTCCGAAGTTCTACTGTCGTACTTATTGTTAGTGTCAGTTCTCAAGCTAATTTCTACCTTAAATAAGTTATAGTTCTAATAGTCTTAAATTAGAAATACAGCATTGTTATATTCTGTACCTTCCTTCATCCTGAGATGTTTCACTTAAAGTGCTATCATCCAGTATTTGGAATTGATTTCCATTGGTAGAATTCATCTGCTGATTACCTCTCTGTTTTGAAATACGCTTTTTGTTTTCATTTTTCTTTGCATCCTTCACATTCAAGGCAGAATTACTACTTTAAACATGAAGAAAGAAAAAAATCCAGTACTTAAGTATCTTCAAATAAAATACTTTGTAACATAGACAAATACAAAAATAATACAGAAGACAATACCCAGGAACACTGAAGCACTTAAAAGAAACATGTCTTCTATGAAAAAGTACTGAAGCTGATTCCACCAAACAGTGAAGGACACATCAACAGTCTAAGCACAAATTTTTCTCCACACATGCATGTGGCAACATATATTAGAATTCCTGGGCCAGATTCAGCCCAGCAGGAGCAAATGTCACTCTTCTGCACTTGAGTAGTTCCAATGGGACTTCAGTGGGACTACTCACATGCTTTAAATTAAGCACAGTTTGCTGGAAAAGACTCAGCAGCTTGCAGGCTCAAACCCCACAAAGTGGTCTTACTTACCGTTTGGGAAATTCCAAGAACTACTTATCTGCAATTTGATCAACTTGGTAACAATTTTCTGAGATTTCTGTATGGGCAAGCAATAGCGATGGAATTCTTTATAGACATAAATGTGACTCTAACTAATCCATTTCTTTAGCTAAAGTTAAGTTGAAATAGATATCTGAAAACTGTAAATTTCTGTCTATTTATAGAAAAGAAATTCACCTTGTAAATATTTTTTAGATTACTAGAATACACTTTTGTATTCAAATATAAGCAGTGTTTAGTTTCTTTTAATTACTCTTTTAATCAATCTATCATGTGGTTATTTTTAATTCTCTTATTAATTATATGTAATATAACAAAAATACTTTATATTGTCATTCTACATCCTGCCTTGTCTCAACCCTTACGCCAGAGGTGGCCACATTTTCGGATAGATGGGATATGAGGTGGATAGACTCTGATCCTTGTTAGTTGTCACTGTGGCCTGACTTTCATGGATGCACAAGTACACAGGGAGGCATAAATGCCCCCTTATTCCCTTGCACCTATAGGCAGAGGTAGAGAAAACAGCCTCCACAGTGCTCATCCTTTGTACCCCACATAATTGAAAGACAGTAGGAGATACAGAATGGGGAGCAGGCAGAGCACTGGCTTCACCCACCATGAACCAGCTAGCATAGCTATCCTGGTACAACCAGCTAGCACAAAGATGGTACAGGGTACTTATTGAAGCAAGGGGGAACCCAAAAAGCAGACTGTGACTCACTGTGCCTCCCTGTCTGCTCCAGGGGTCGTGCAACAACTGAGTCACAGTGTTCCTTCTGGTCTGCTCTACAGGCAACCCAACAACGTGCTACCACGTACTCAGGGCAAAAGTATGACTGTGCCTAAAAGAGGAAGAAAAGAAGAAAGGTGATGAGAACTAGTGTTTGCCTATACTCTCAGCTGAGTTCAGAAGTATAAGAAAAAAAGTTACTAAAAGGTTAGGTTGCAGTTAAGAAAACCCTGCTGCCACTAAGCAGCAAAATTAAAAAGAAATGGTCATGTGTGATGGCAAGCCAAACTTTGTCCATCTGCATGCTATTCCAACTCTGCGTAACTCATTAAAAGTATCATCTCTCCCCTTATTCCTGCGAAACACACATGAATAGAATGACAATTAAATCTATAATCTTATTGATTATAAAAGAGACAACTTGCACCCAACCAGAAAAGGAAAAAATTAAACTGTGAGCCACTGTCTCTCTATAGCTAAGTCTGCAACCAGTTTCCACAATGCCATCGCATATTTGGAGGTCTAATTTTGGCTTTGAAAATGTATTTGGCCTGAATATTGATACTAAAGTCAAGGAGAATTTTTAGGTGGTTCAACATTTTTAGAAAAGCAGCTAATTTAGGGTCCTAAGTCTATTTTAGGCGCCTAACTTTTGGCAACCTTTTAAAAAAATCTTGGTCAATGTATTCATTTATTCAATGGGTAGTGCACAAATTATTATGTCCTTAATGATTTTTAGGAAGGAAGGTAAATTTAGTGTTACTTGTAAGCAAACACAATGTGTACCCCAAGTTTTCACAGGTGGAAGACTATTTCATTAAGCTACAGAATAAAAAATACTTCAGACAATTAGGTTTACATGCAAATAAATAAAGATCATTATTTATTTGTACTATCTTACCCCTTCAAAGGTATTTGAATTAACTTCTCTCTTTCCTTGGAGGAAATACTGTTCTTCGTGTGTTTTTCTTCTTCTGTGGTTTCTCCACTTTCTACTGTAGAATATTGGTTCCCTTTTACAGTTCCCTTCTGTTTCATTTGCTGGTTAATACCATTTCCAGCCAATGTTTGCATATATGACTTATAAGCATCTTCTCTTTCCCCACATTTTTGCTTTCTCTTTTCCTTTTCTACCTAGGATAAGAAAGTTTGATGCTTAACATTTTTGTCATCATTTTCTTGAATTAATAAAGAGGTACTCTTGCCAAAATGTACACTAAATTGTACTCCTATGATTCACATAAAGGAACTAAAAAGTTAAAAGAACTACACTTACATAATATTCCGTTACACAGGTTAGCAAGGGAGTGGGAATACTTTCACCACTGGGGGAAAAAAGATGAATTCACTCCCTACTAAAAAGTTTAATAAAAACATACCCTTTAAAACTGAAATACAATTTACATCTTAAAACATGAAGCAATGAAGAGCGTAACTGTATTAATGACAGTAAATTAGAAGGAATGAATAGTGTTTGTTATGTAGACATAATAGATATGATTAACAGAAATATGTACACAATTCTTTTTGAATGAAAAACACCTAATCAGAGAATTGTTTCACTGAAAACTGAAGAGTTTCAGCAAAGGGTAATGAAAGATACACATGCACAGAACAGAGCAGATGCAAAGATTAGTCAATACCCTGTTCAGATGCTATTTTCATTCTTTGGTTCAAAGTGAGAACTGATGTAAATGTGTGCATTTCCTTTGAAGTCAATGGAGTGCCAACTACTTACACCAAAACTGAATGTGGTCCTTTACATTTGAATTGTAGACTACTATTAAGAATAACTAAATTTTAGATTTCTTAAATCTTCTAAACCACATAATGGAGGAAAGGAAGATTCTCTCCATCTGCCCTCTTTCGAGATATGAAATATATTTGCATTGCACAAAAAGCCAATTTGCACAAGAAACCTTTCTGAAATGATGAATAGCTGAAGTGAACAGGATGGTTGATGTGGAGCAAAGACCAATGAAAATGAAGCAGCAGCAGGTGAACCTCTACCTCTTTTTGTAGTTGTACTTTCTCTTTCTCCAAAGCCAGGAATACTATCTGCAGCATTCCTACCTCATTCTTAAATCTTTCCATATCTTGTTCCAGTTCTTCATCCAATAGTCTTTTCAAAGTTTCATCACGAGATTGTCGAGAGTTTCCCAAATTACTTTCAATTTCAGTATTACTAGTTTTAGGATTGCCAACAAAGCAGTCTTTGGGAATATCATTAAAATAGCATGTGTCTTTTCCAAGTTTGTTTTTTGCTACAGCAAGAAGTGTGCTTTTATCATCTGTAGAAACAGGTCTTACATCATCTGGAATATTAGCTCTTTTGTCCAAAATGCTTTCTTTCAAACTATGTTTTTGTGAACAACCAGGACTATTCTCTAAATCTGAAATATTTCCATCTACATTTTCTTCTATTTCCATAGCAGCTATTTGGTCTCCCCTCTCTTTGTTTACAGCTACTTTTGTACTTTCTGCATTGTTAGTAAAACCCTCTTCATTTACATTCCATACATGTTCAGTACACAATTTGTTATCATTTTCACATAGCCTGATAATATACTGATTGGGATGCTCATGAGAACTGGAATTTAAAGCATAGGAAATTACGTTTTCATTGCTAGATGCCTTTTGTTCAAGCACAGAGCATAGGTCCATAAATTCACTTCTTTCTTCTATTCTACTGGTGGGTTTTGTCAAATTATGTGGTGCTTTGTGAATGCTCTCCAATTCTTCACTGAAGCCATCTTGTAATGTCCCTTCCATGGGTGTAGTTTGCTGAACTTCCTTAATTTCACCAAACATTTTCTTTAGCTCTGCTGTAATGCTTTTAAAATTTGTTTTCACTTCCCTTTTGTCATTTTCAACCCACATTTTCTCATATCTTTCTTCCCAAAGTTTTGGATTTAATTGCACATCATCACCATGTGAGTCCTCATTTTGTTTTAGTGGCTCAGTTTTTGTATGTGGAAATGAAATTTCTGTTTTGTCAGTCTGATTATCAGATGCTGTTTTTTCTGTCAAGTTGGTTGTACCTAATATGTGTTTATCCTTAAGAAGGCAGGTATGGAGAAAGAAAAATTAGTTAAAGATCAGCAGTTACAATTAGTCTAGTAAGCTTATGTTGCAAACTTGTCCAACTACCACAAATCTGAGCCAAAGAAATCTTGAAAATAACTGGTCTGTAACCAAATCTTGTAAAAAATCCCTAAACATTAAAAAGGTTTATTGAATGTTGTTTTTATAAAAGGAGTCTTTATTTTTTATTTTATAGAGTCTTATTTTGGCTGGATTGGATTTATCTGAGCAATTTGGTTTCTTAAACCATTTTAAATTTTCAACCCGTCTACTTTCTGTAATTTCAAATATATAAAAATTAAACACAGACACTGGAATGGATTATGCCTTTGAAATCCATGTGGAGAAAGAGTTTACCCATATACAGATCTCCTTCTCTCTGTGCAGAAGGGCTTTCTACCTAGACCCCTCTCTCAATGGTCCAGAGACTGCACTGGGAAAGCAAGAAAGGGGAAGAAGAGAGAGGCTAGAGCTCATGTTATTCCCTAAGGGGAGCCATGCTGGCCCTATGTCTCCTTTCAAATATTTGAAATTAGAGAAAATTTCAACACAGAAGTCATCTGTAAAAGTTTGTACACAGATTGTGTTAATTATCTTCCCTCACCCTAAATTCTAGGATCTGCCCCACCCAAGGGGAGGTCATAGTAACACAGATCCAAAGATGTGGAGCTCTCACGGGGCCATGCAGCTGCATAGATAGCCTGGTCTCTCACAGATCCCCTGAAATCCTCCAGGTTTGAGGGGGCAAACTTTCTGTGGTGATGAGGCAAACTCCAACTCCCACTGGGATAATTGGGATAATCTCTGTGAGGGAATCCTTGCGGAGATTTCTTCACAAGAAGTCCCTGCCCACAGTTTCTAACAAAGAAGGGACTCAGATCTATTTCTAGTTATTTGCTGAAAACACCAGATGGGGTGGAGGCTGGTTCTGCTCCAGTGATGTGCATGTATCCTTCACATTTGTAATTCACTATACCTTGATTTTCAAGTTTTAAAACCTACAAAATTATTCAAATTAATGATAATATGCCCAATGGGTTTAAACATTGACACAAGATTTCCATGCCATGCAAAATGCAGGGGGCTTTAACTTTTGTGCAATATTCTGTTTCATTGGCTTTATTTTTACAATACAAATAATTAATGTTTTGGCGATCATCACCTAGTTTAATGATACACTAATAATTACTGCACCATTATTGAACAGGTGTTTTCTTCCAGTTACAGGGTTTTTAAAAATAGCTTATATTGAGTACCCATGTCCCTTTAACAAAAAGTTGTTGAAAAGGAAAGTAAGATCTTGTCTCCTAAGTAAAATCTTGTGCAATTTAAACAGGCAGGCTGAAGAAGAGAGCTCGCCTACTGAAGCCAATAGGGTTGTACACATAATAAAGCAGACAGAACTTGGCCCTTCATTTGTATGATTCCTTTATTTTTCTTCTTCCATTTAACCATATTTGTTTTGCATGAACTCCGATTGGTTTGTCCCAAAATTACAATTTTGTAATTTACATTTTAATAAGGTTATTGTTGTAACAAATAAAAATTTACAGGTTTGTATTATGGTTTGTTTAATGAATCTTTGCTTCAGCCAATCAAAAACCAGCCATGAAAAACAAATCTAAATATGCAAAGGCGAAATAAACAACATTTAAAGTCTGTGTCATAATGCATGGGGGTCAGACAAAGGCTACATAGGCACCCTTAATTCTAGCATTTCCAAAAGTCTGAGTGCTTGACTTTAAAAGAACATTATTACAGTTGCAATCTCATTTTGTGTGTGTGTCATTTCCTTGGTTTTTAAATAAGCAAACTGAAAAAAAACCCTCCCATGTGGCATCATATTAGGCCATGGATCATTAATAGGGTTGAAACCTTTAGATCCATAGATCTCTGCCACTTGAGCTAATGTAGTAATTGATAGCAGTTGTAGCTTGTCAGCTTCGATGAGCAGAAACACAAAAAGGGGATGAGACACTTTACCAGCAGGTTTCATAAATATTTGCTGACAGCTGAGGAATGGTGCCACTCAGGAATTTTGAGTTCCATTCCAGCTTCCATGGGGACCGTGCACTACTGAATATACACACAGTCCATTCCCCCAAGTGGGGCCTTTTCTGCCCCGCTTCTCCAAATGGTCTGTCTCTGTCCATCTTTTTCCTACATCTTTGCTCCTTGTTCCAGTTCCAGTCCCCACTCCTCAGGCTTCTTATTCCAGTCCCAGTCTTCTTGCCCAGCCAGTTCTAGTCGCACCCCCCAAGTCCCCAGCTCCTTTTCCCCGGTCTCCTTGCCCACTGATCCCAATTCCTCTCTCGGCTCCTCATCCAGTCTATCTCCTGCAACCTGGCCTCCAGTCACCTCTATCCTCCCCCGTCCCCTCTGGCTCCAAAGCCCTATTTTCCTTCCAAGACTGCTAGTTCAATCTGACAGACACATAACAGGTCCTTACACCAGTCTCTTTGACCAGCCAGTCCCAGTTCTCTCCCCACAATCTGACTCCTTGGCAGATCTGTCTCCTCTCCCTCATCACATCATTCCTCCCAACCCATAGGTTCTCAGTCCCAGTTTCCCCTTGGCTTCTCATCTTATCTCAGTTTCCCTGCCATCTACTAGCTCCCAGTCCCTCTCTCACATTCTCAGTTTTCAACCCTCCCAGCCCCAAGTCTCAGTCTCCCCATCTCTCCAGGCTTCTTGTCCCAATCTACTACCCCACTGCCCTCAGGCTCAGTTCTTGTTGCCTCTGTATTCAAATCAGGCAGCTTCCTCCTCCACACTGCCTGGGCCCACGGCAGAGAGAGAAAATGGGGGTGGGAGCGGATGCGTGATTGAAAGCACAGGAGACAGTCTCCCTGCTCTGAGTTCAGGTGCCTAGTCCCAGAAAAGACTGCAGCAGTCCAGCACTGCATTTGTAGAGTAAGTCCTGCTCAGCCCCAAGCTAGAACATGCTCAGTACAGACAGAATATTTGGGGAATTCAGCTACAAAAATCTAAATTTTCTACTGTGAATGTGTGAACTGCTAGTTTTCGAAAGCCTGTAACTTGGTGAAATTTGCAAAGATTTTTATGGGGACAGCAAAAGGAATCTCCTTTATTCCTCCTCTTCCCTTCACCTTCCCTGCAAATTCAAGTTCTTTCTCCAAAGCACAGAGCTTTTCAAAGAAATCGTTGCCAGAATCTTTTAACATGGGCCAATCAAGGTTTTTTTCCCTAGCTTCACTCTGAAAAATGGCAGACACATTTTGGCTGAAATTTTCCAAACAAACAAACAAACAAACAAACAAACAAACAAAATCAGCCTGAGGCAGAAAACCAGCAAAGAAAATCTCAGCTCCAATGGTTAAAGTATGACAAAGTTATAAGCAACTGAGAACAGGCTCTTTTATTGGGAAGTGCTGGGCACCCTTAATAAAAGGTGGCACTACGAGCCCCACCTATAAAATGATTTTAGTCTACAGTGCTGATTTGATTCATGGACTCTAAAGCTTATTTACAGTTTTTTAAAAGTACTTAGCAAGGGCTTTGTGACATTTATCATCCACTAATTCGGCATGTGAACTGGCTAAGGTCAATTTTATTTGGTATAACATTAGCGTGAAACAATTTTCAAGATAGTCTTATCTAAATTAAAACAAATTTGCTTTACATACCTGCTTCTTGCAGTTTTCACCTGCATCTTCTTGTTCTTCATCTGGTGATGGCATATTAAAGGAAGGTTCGGATAGTTCATCTATATTAATATTGAATAAAAATGCTTGTAATTGTAACTTAAAGGCATTAGCCTTTAGCATTTACTTCTGCCTATATTACTTTGCAAAAGGTCAATTCTTACAGCTAATATATATACATTAAACAACAAGGAAGTTTTCAAACATCAATGGAAAATTCAAGTTTCTCATAAACTTATGCAATTTTGAAGCAGAAACTGACACAAAAGTAGATTTAAGATAGAGCTGGTTTAGTTTTGAATCTTTCTTCTAATTAATTGCCTTTTTATATATGTATGAAAGAAATCTATTATAGATCATTATAATAATAGACGCCAAACACATATCACTCCTCTCTCTCGTGGAAATAGAAAATTAGACATAGAATTTCTCAGTCATGTTGCTCATGCCACCTTACTCATCCTGTTGCAGATCTGTATTATGACACCGTCTAATTACATGATCACATTTTTCCACAGGATGCCTGCCTCATTCAGTGCACAGGATGGACCTGCTTTGGGGGTCAATCAAGGCTGAGTACTAAAGGAGGCTGTTTACAGGACCTCTGCCTCATTTGTTGCAGAAATTGGGAATAGGCTTATCAGAATTCAATTTTTTATAATTTCAGTGGATAACATCAACATTTATCTTTAAGCATTTTTTTCAATTATTGATTTACATTTTCACAGCTGCAAAAAAATTATGGGTTTTAAGCATCTTTTCCAATTTTTATACATTTAAATTTTCCAGAGTTGGGAGAAATTATGGGAGGTGGGAGAGAGTCAAACAATTATTTAATGACAGACACTGAGATTCAAAAAGTTAAAGCTTTATAATCATTAAAAAATAAACTGTCAACATCATATGTCAAAATATACAAAGCAAATATCTTTAAATCAAACTCTAAGAAGTTTTCAAACAGCATTTTTCTTTGATTTGATTCTCATCAATGGAAATATTTTTTCATTGTTTTGCATACACATGGTGAAATTGAAATTTATTGACAAAAATCCAATCCTTCAAAACCTATGAATGAGGCATAGGATTACAGAAAGAGAACAGTCTCATGGCTAAGATACCCGAGTGCTGTCCTGAAGAAGTGAATTCTCTCCATGCCTCTGCTATAGACTTCCTCTGTGATGCTAGTCAAGTCACTTAAATCAAACTTTTCACAGATGGCCATTAATTGTATGTTCCTCATTTTCTGGACCCCAACTTGAGACCCTATAGCCTGATTTGCAGAAGTGCTGTGCCCTCACAGCTGCAACGGAAATAAACTGAAAATCAGGTCTTAGGCATTTCAAATCGTGCATCCAAAAGTTAGTGTATACTTTTGACCTTAATTTCTCTGTGCCTCAGTTCCCTGTCCATAAAATAGGGATAATACTACCACCTCACCTCACAAGAGTGTCATGAAGATCAATTAATATGAGTGCTTCACAAATAATTATAGTGATGAGAGCCATAGAAAAGCCTATGAGGCAACTAATAATTCTGTATTCAGAACAAGATTTGAATAGTGCACAATAAATAATGCCTAGGGCCACACAATGAACAGTGAAGAGAAAACAAAATATTGAATAGCTGCTCATTACGTGAACACTGACCACTGTGTGCACTAAATGAGGCTGGCATCCTGTGGAAAAAATATGATGTCATCACATAATTCCAGAAAGTATCATAATACATATGCACAAGGAGTCTGAATTAGTGTTACCAGGACAACCTTAGTTCTGGCATTATCTAACTTTGCAACTTTAATGATCCTTTAATGGTGCATACATGTGTGTGTGTGAACAGCTGTATTAATAAAATGAATGCTATTTAAAATAAAAATTCATATGAAAATACAGGAGTAGAGGGAGGGCAGTGGAGAGGAATTTACCATACCAGTTAAAATTCCACTCTCACAAATGTTCACCACAACTAAGATGTCTGGAGTAAATGAGAAGTTGCCCCTATAGACATGTTATAGACAAAGTGGATTTTAAAAAATATTTTTAAAATTAAAAAATTAGTTTTTATTTAAATAAAATTGTTTAAGCTAAATATATTTTTCTTTTTAAAAATAAACCTATTTAAAATAAATTTGAAATTATGACAACCTACGTCAAGGCCTAAATTTACTATAATCTATTAAAATAATTCAATTAAATAAAAAATATTAAACAGTACATTTTTGCTCTGAAGTTTTAAAGAAAGCTAAACTATAGAACTGGTCAAGCACATGGAACAAGAGTTTGTTGAAGTGCTAAACTAGTGTCTGACAGCAGGGACAGAGAGAATATTTTCTTCATTTAAGATTATTCAAACAGTTCATTTCAATGACTAGCTCATTTAAAGTTAAGTAACCATTTGGGAGTTGAAAAACCAGGAAAGCTTGTTTTCTTCCAATGTAAGAATAAAAATTAGGTGAGAGAGGATGAGCTCTACTAGTACTAAAATCTTAAAGGATATGGTGACCAGAAACAATCAGTTCAATTCACGAAGTACAGACAATATTCCTTGGTTTGATGTTTTAAACCAAAATGTTTTGATTCAGTTTTTATAAAATGTATCCAGCACATTGAAGGTAATTATTTAAATATTGTTTGTGCATTTTTAATTGAATTCTATTTCCCATCCAAATAGAGATTGAAACAAATTGTGAGTAAAAATATTAATCTAGTAAATAAGAAACATCACCATTTCCTACCATAAGGGAAAAAAAAAAGGAAAAATTAAGCATCTAATAAATGTTAAGCAATGTAATTGCTTAAATGTGTATAGATACAGTGCATCTGTCTGGTAAGCAAAAAGAGGTACCAAATTTAACTAAAAGACTATAATTTAGTTGCAAATCAACATGTTTTAATGGTTATCAACTAATGAGAATCAATAGCTCTTTAGAAAAAGAAAAGACAGTTACCTTTTCTGTAACTGGTGTTCTTCGAGATGTGTTGCTCATGTCTATTCCACAATAGGTGTGTGTGCTTGCCATGTGCACCGGTGCCGGAAGTTTTCCCCCTAACAGTACCCATAGTGGGGAGTGCCCCCCCACGACACCTGGAGTGGCGCCTGCCTGGTGCGGTATAAGGGGAGCTGCGCGCTCCCCCCACCCTCAATTCCTTTTTGCCAGATAACTCTGACAGAGGGGAAGGAGGGTGGGATGTGGAATAGACATGAGCAACACATCTCGAAGAACACCAGTTACAGAAAAGGTAACTGTATTTTCTTCTTCGAGTGATTGCTCATGTGTATTCCACAATAGGTGATTCCAAGCTATATATGTTGGAGGTGGGTAGGAGTTCACAAATTCCCAAGACGGAGGACAGCCCTGCCCAACCCGGCGTCATCCCTGGTTTGGGGGACGATAGCATAGTGCGAGGTGAACGTGTGAACCAAAGACCACGTGGCGGCCCTACAAATGTCCTGGATGGGGACGCGGGCCATGAAGGCAGCCGACGAGGCCTGCGCCTGAGTCAAGTGTGTCCTCACAATGGGTGGCGGGGGGACACCTGCTAGCTCATAACAGGAATGGATGCATGAAGTGATCCGATTGGAAAGCTGCCGAGTGGAAATCGGCTGACCCCTCGCGTGCTCAGCTGAGGCGACAAACAGTTGCAAGGACTTTCTGAATGGCTTGGTCCGCTCAAGGTAGAAAGCCAGAGCCCACCACACATTGAGCGTGTGGAGACGGCACTCCTCACTGGATGAGTGAGGCTTGCAGCAGAGGACCGGTAGAAAAATATCCTGATCCATGTGGTAGGCAGAGACCACCTTCAGGAGGAACGCGGGGTGTGGGTGGAGCTGGACCTGGACCTGGTTTTTATGAAAGACTGTCTACGGTGGCTCCCAGGTCAGGGCCCTGAGCTCCGAGACTCATCTGGCAGATGTGATTGCAACCAGGAAGGCCACCTTTCATGAGAGATAAGACCAGGAGCACATGGCCAGTGGTTCAAACGGGGGCCCCGTGAGACGAGCCAACACCAGGTTTAGGTCCCACTGTGGGACCAGGGGTGTAGAATACAGAAAAAGGCAGTCCAAACCCTTAAGGAACTGGCCAGTCAAAGCATGGGAAAATACCATGTGCCCTTGCACCGGCGGATGGAAGGCTGATATGGCTGCCAAGTGCACCTTGACTGGCGAGGGTGCCAGGCCCTGGGCCCTGAGGTGGAGGAGGTAATCAAGGATAAGATGGATTGGGGCAGTCGCTAGGGAGATACCCTGGTCCGCCGCCCACCTAGAAAACTGGGACCACTTTGCCAAATAAGCGCGGCAAGTGGAAGGCCGTCTACTTTTGAGGAGGACGCACTGAACCTGTTCTGAGCATGTTCTTTCCTCTCCACCTAACCACTGAGCAGCCACGCCGTGAGGTGACGCGCCGCCAGGTTGGGGTGGAGGAGACGGCCCTGGTCCTGAGAGAGTTGGTCCAGTGGTGGAGCTACCGTCAGGCCTGTGAGGGTCCCGTACCAATGCTGCCTGGGCCACGCCGGGGCAATCAGGAGGACCCGGGCCTTGTCCGTTTTTATCTTCTCCAGGACCCTGATGATTAGAGAGAATGGGGAAAAGGCGTAGAGAAACCAGCCTGATCAGGACAGGAGAAAGGCATTGGAGATAGTGCCACTCCCCAGGCGCCCCCCCGGAGCAGAACTGGGGCCATCGCTCGTTCTGCCGAGTCACGAACAGGTCCACCTGGGGAGTTCCCCACCTTCAGAAGAGCCAGTGGGCCACTTCCAGGTGGAGGGACCTCTCGAGTTGCGAGGAAAAGTCCCTGCGCAAGCAATGTGCCCTCTTGTTCCAGGCTCCCGGCAGGTGGAAGGCCTTCAGGTGGATGTCGTGGGCTATACAGAAGTCCCACAGCCTGAGGGCTTCGCAGCAGAGGATCAGGCCCCGCCTTGCCTGTTGATATAGAACATTGAGGCCGTGTTGTCCGTGAGGACCCTGACTACCTTGCCCTTGAGGTGCGAGCGGAAGGCCATACAAGTCAGTCGCACTGCCCTGAGCTCCTTGACGTTTATATGTAAGGTCAGGTCTTGAGCCA